GGCTTTAGGAAAGGTAGGGGGTGTGTGGACCAGGTGTTTACAGTGAAACATATAAGTGAACAGTATTTAGATAAGGCTAAAGAGGTCTTTGTGGCATTTATGGATTTGGAAAAGGCGTATGACAGGGTGGATAGGGGGGCAATGTGGCAGATGTTGCAAGTGTATGGTGTAGGAGTAGGTTACTGAAAGCAGTGAAGAGTTTTTACGAGGATAGTGAGGCTCAAGTTAGAGTATGTAGGAAAGAGGGAAATTTTTTCCCAGTAAAAGTAGGCCTTAGACAAGGATGTGTGATGTCACCGTGGTTGTTTAATATATTTATAGATGGGGTTGTAAGAGAAGTAAATGCGAGGGTCTTGGCAAGAGGCGTGGAGTTAAAAGATAAAGAATCACACACAAAGTGGGAGTTGTCACAGCTGCTCTTTGCTGATGACACTGTGCTCTTGGGAGATTCTGAAGAGAAGTTGCAGAGATTGGTGGATGAATTTGGTAGGGTGTGCAAAAGAAGAAAATTAAAGGTGAATACAGGAAAGAGTAAGGTTTATGAGGATAACAAAAAGATTGGGTGATGAAAGATTGAATATCAGATTGGGGGAGGGGAGTTGGAGGAGGTAAAAACGTATTCAGATATTGGGAGTGGACGTTGTCAGCGGATGGGTCTATGAAAGATGAGGTGAATCATAGAATTGATGAGGGAAAAAGAGTGAGTGGTGCACTTAGGAGTCTGTGGAGACAAAGAACTTTGCCCTTTGGGAGGCAAAGAGGGGAATGTATGAGAGTATAAGTTTTACCAACGCTCTTTATGGGTGTAAAAGCGTGGGTGATGAATGTTGCAGCGAGGAGAAGGCTGGAGGCAGTGGAGATGTCATGTTCAGGGCAATGTGTGGTTTGAATATAATGCAGAGAATTCGTAGTTTTGGAAGTTAGGAGGAGGTGCGGGATTACCAAAACTGTTGTCCAAGGGCTGAGGAAGGGTTGTTGAGGTGGTTCGGACATGTAGAGAGAATGGAGCGAAAAAGAATGACTTCAAGAGTGTATCAGTCTGTAGTGGAAGGAAAGGCGGGGTAGGGGTCGGCCTAGGAAGGGTTGGGGGAGGGGGGAAAAGGAGGTTTTGTGTGCGAGGGGCTTGGACTTCCAGCAGGCATGCGTGAGCGTGTTTGATAGGAGTGAATGGAGACAAATGGTTTTTAATATTGACGTGCTGTTGGGAGTGTGACCCAAAGTAACATTTATGAAGGGATCAGGAAACCGGCAGGCCGGACTTGAGTCCTGGAGATGGGAAGTACAGTGCCTGCACTCTGAAGGAGGGGTGTTAATGTTGCAGTTTAAAAACTGTTGTGTAAAGCACCCTTCTGGCAAGACAGTGATGGAGTGAATGATGGTGAAAGTTTTTCTTTTTCGGGCCACCTGCCTTGGTGGGAATCGGCCGGTGTGATAATAAAAAAAAAAAAAAATAATATATATATATATATAATATATATATATATATATTATATATATATTTAATTATATATATTATATATATATATAAAGCTGAAATTAATCCTTGAGATACCATTGCCATAAGTGTCCTCGGGCCAAGGTGAACACGTGCTGTGTGCTTGGCTCTTGTAGGATCAGTGGCGTAATGGTAAGGTGATGCATGCATTGTTCTGTCTCTGGAGGCGGTACAAGGTTCGTAGGGTCGAGTCCTGGCCTGCCGCAGTTTGGGAAATTATTTAAAATCACTTGTTTCGTGATTTCATTGCTATATATATATATGTATGGGGTAGGTTTAAAAATGTAGTGTTAGAGTGTTCAGCAGAAGTTTCTGGTTACAGGAAAGTGGGTGCGGGAGGGAAGAGGAGCGATTGGTGGAATGATGATGTAAAGAGAAAAGTAAGGGAGAAAAGGTTAGCATATGAGAAGTTTTTACAAAGTAGAAGTGATGCAAGGAGGGAAGAGTATATGGAGAAAAAGAGAGAGGTTAAGAGAGTGGTGAAGCAATGTAAAATGAGAGCAAATGAGAGAGTGGGTGAGATGTTATCAACAAATTTTGTTGAAAATAAGAAAAAGTTTTGGAGTGAGATTAACAAGTTTAAGAAAGCCTAGAGAACAAATGGATTTGGTCAGTTAAAAATAGGAGAGGAGAGTTATTAAATGGAGAGTTAGAGGTATTGGGAAGATGGAGGGAATATTTTGAGGAATTGTTAATGTTGATGAAGATAGGAAGCTGTGATTTCGTGTATAGGACAAGGAGGAATAACATCTTGTAGGAGTGAGGAAGAGCCAGTTGTGAGTGTGGGGGAAGTTTCGTGAGGCAGTAGGTAAAATGAAAGGGGTAAGGCAGCCGGGATTGATGGGATAAAGATAGAAATGTTAAAAGCAGGTGGGGATATAGTTTTGGAGTGGTTGGTGCAATTATTTAATAAATGTATGGAAGAGGGTAAGGTACCTAGGGATTGGCAGAGAGCATGCATAGTTCCTTTGTATAAAGGCAAAGGGGATAAAAGAGAGTGCAAAAAATTATAGGGGGGTAAGTCTGCTGAGTATACCTGGTAAAGTGTATGGTAGAGTTATTATTGAAAGAATTAAGAGTAAGACGGAGAATAGGATAGCAGATGAACATGAATGCTTTAGGAAAGGTAGGGGGGGGGTGTGGACCAGGTGTTTACAGTGAAACATATAAGTGAACAGTATTTAGATAAGGCTAAAGAGGTCTTTGTGGCATTTATGGATTTGGAAAAGGCGTATGACAGGGTGGATAGGGGGGCAATGTGGCAGATGTTGCAAGTGTATGGTGTAGGAGGTAGGTTACTGAAAGCAGTGAAGAGTTCTTACGAGGATAGTGAGGCTCAAGTTAGAGTATGTAGGAAAGAGGAAAATTATTTCCCAGTAAAAGTAGGCCTTACACAAGGATGTGTGATGTCACCGTGGTTGTTTAATATATTTATAGATGGGGTTGTAAGAGAAATAAATGCGAGGGTCTCGGCAAGAGGCGTGGAGTTAAAAGATAAAGAATCACACACAAAGTGGGAGTTGTCACAGCTGCTCTTTGCTGATGACACTGTGCTCTTGGGAGATTCTGAAGAGAAGTTGCAGAGATTGGTGGATGAATTTGGTAGGGTGTGCAAAAGAAGAAAATTAAAGGTGAATACAGGAAAGAGTAAGGTTATGAGGATAACAAAAAGATTAGGTGATGAAAGATTGAATATCAGATTGGAGGGAGAGAGTATGGAGGAGGTGAATGTATTCAGATATTTGGGAGTGGACGTATTAGCGGATGGCTCTATGAAAGATGAGGTGAATCATAGAATTGATGAGGGGAAAAGAGTGAGTGGTGCACTTAGGAGTCTGTGGAGACAAAGAACTTTGTCCTTGGAGGCAAAGAGGGGAATGTATGAGAGTATAGTTTTACCAACGCTCTTATATGGGTGTGAAGCATGGGTGATGAATGTTGCAGCGAGGAGAAGGCTGGAGGCAGTGGAGATGTCATGTCTGAGGGCAATGTGTGGTGTGAATATAATGCAGAGAATTCGTAGTTTGGAAGTTAGGAGGAGGTGCGGGATTACCAAAACTGTTGTCCAGAGGGCTGAGGAAGGGTTGTTGAGGTGGTTCGGACATGTAGAGAGAATGGAGCGAAACAGAATGACTTCAAGAGTGTATCAGTCTGTAGTGGAAGGAAGGCGGGGTAGGGGTCGGCCTAGGAAAGGTTGGAGAGAGGGGGTAAAGGAGGTTTTGTGTGCGAGGGGCTTGGACTTCCAGCAGGCATGCTTGAGCGTGTTCGATAGGAGTGAATGGAGACAAATGGTTTTTAATACTTGACGTGCTGTTGGAGTGTGAGCAAAGTAACATATATGAAGGGGTTCAGGGAAACCGGCAGGCCGGACTTGAGTCCTGGAGATGGGAAGTACAGTGCCTGCACTCTGAAGGAGGGGTGTTAATGTTGCAGTTTAAAAACTGTAGTGTAAAGCACCCTTCTGGCAAGACAGTGATGGAGTGAATGATGGTGAAAGTTTTCTTTTTCGGGCCACCCTGCCTTGGTGGGAATCGGCCAGTGTGATAAAAAAAAAATATTATATATGTATATATATATATATATATATATATATATATATATTTTATATATATATATATATATATATATATGTAATAAGATCACAGTAAACAGGCGATTTTAGAATATGTAAAACAACCACTGTGAAAGAATAGGGAAATTCTTAATATTGGAGCTTGTTTACGTTATCGTGTTTGGCGGAATAAAGATTGTGTTAAATCATTTCTCGGTAAATAAAGAAGAATCTCTGCGATTACAGATATGGCCTCAGTTTCCTACAAAGAGATCAACTGCATGACACAGCAATATTAGTACATCACCGCTAGAAGCATCATTAAGTACTGTTGAAGATTGAGACACTTATGCAGCATATGGGAATCTTTATTCAGGAAACGTTTCGCCACACAGTGGCTTCATCAGTCCAATACAAAGAGGAAGGCGTAAGGAGAGGAGGAGAATGAGGTAATCAGTCCCTCAACCTGGAGTCGATGTGTTCAGTCGATGGACTGAACACATCGACTCCAGGTTGAGGGACTGATTACCTCATTCTCCTCCTCTCCTTACGCCTTCCTCTTTGTATTGGACTGATGAAGCCACTGTGTGGCGAAACGTTTCCTGAATAAAGATTCCCATATGCTGCATAAGTGTCTCAATCTTCAACTTGTCGGTTTTTCAAACCATTCATCACATTAAGTACTGTTTTGATACAGATCGTGTTTCGTGTTTCTACACTATATTGGTCATGTGAGGGTTAAGCTCCGTCACCACAAACCAACTCAGAGTTGGTTTAAAACTGTTCAACCCAATATTCATTATGAACTGTAATCATTTATATAATATATAAAGTTATTATAAAAATGTAAGTAGTTCTATCTGTAAATTTTCAGTGTGTTTCAGAGGTGTGCAGTACAGAGGAGTGCATCATATACACTCACATCTTCATGCTCTTTGTCTCATCTGATTACAGCTGAAGGATAAGCTGCAGATGGGGAAGCTTGTGCAGCCTCTTCAGATGCCTCCTGAAGGGGAGAGCGTCGTCGAGGGCACCGTCTGTACTGTCATAGGTTGGGGCATCACCTCTGACATTGGCGATATCACTGATATACTTCAAAAGGTTAGATTGTCTTTGTAACTTTATGCATCCCAAACACACCATGCCGGAGGTAATCAAAATATTTCTTAGACACATAATAGATGCCTTTGCTAGAGATGTTTTAATATTCGGGTGGTTCGTTGAGTAATGTTAGATGTTCGCCAGGCAAGAGTTTCCGCCTTCCAGTTTTCCGTGTCTGTTAAATTCACAAAATTCTTAAATTTTATGAAAAAGAGTAATATTGAATATTTTATATGAATGTAGGACAAATTTAGATGATTGAAGCAATGATATTAAAAACAAAAGTACAGTTTGCAGAGAAACCAGGTAATTAATTAAATATGGAAGTAATTTAGTAGATTTATGAAGATTTTAAGTAAATATTGCTTAGTTTAAGCAATTTACAACTATGCCACAAACTGAAAATGCCACATTAACAAAATTTTGGTCGGTGTGGGTCAGATAGTGTCTAAGTAGAGACTGGAAGGTGTTTCAGTTTATTTCCCCATTTATTTGTTAGATGTAATACATTTGTTTTGTTTTCTGAAGGCGGACGTAGCTGAAGTGTCAGACGAGAATTGTCGGATATCGTACGGGGAGGATGCCGTTGAAGACAGTATGCTGTGCGCCGGCTGGTCCGATGGACACGCTGACGCGTGCGACGGAGACCAAGGCGGGCCACTCCTATGTTGGGGACACCTGCATGGGATAGCTTCTTGGGGAGAAAACTGTGGTGACTCCTTCTACCCCGGCGTGTACACCGAGATAGCCTTCTTTAGAAACTGGATTCTGAACCACATAAACCCCCCTATGACTAGCCCTTAATGACACATTAGACGGGACACAGTGAATGTTGCTCTGATCCGAAAGCTACAACATACACACACACATTCGGTATGGAACCCACACCTGCTTAATTAAGCATGTCAAAAATTTTGAGAAAATGCAAAGGTTTTCAAGAAAACTAGTCCCGGAGCTAACACGTATGTCCTTCGAGGAGAGAAGGACAGAAAGGACAGGGAAGGACATGATGAAGACACATGAAATACTGAGAGAAATTAACAAGGTGGATAGGGACATAATATTTCACAGATGGGACGCAACAAGTGGTCAGAACTGGAAGATACAAATCCTGATGAGTCACAGAGATGTTAGGAGGTATTTCTTTAGTTACAGAGTTGACAGGAAGTGGAACAACCTGGAGAGTGATGTAGCGGGTAGGATCCATACATAGCTTTAAGAAGAGGTAAAACTCATTGAGCAGAGAGAGTGACGTAGTAGCGACCAGTGAAGAGGTGGGGCCAAGAGGTGTGACCCTACCCACCTCTCACTACAAACAGGTGAGTATACACACACACACACACCCACACACACACACACACACACACACACACACACACACACACACACACACACACACACACACACACACACACACACTCAGAACAAGAAACATGAGGGGTAGACACTTATGTTTTCTACTGCTTGGTGCAGTGATAATTTCTACCTCTCTGGAGTGAAGGGAGAAAAATAATGTGTCGTGGTGTCCCCTAATATGTTATGGAAAATATTTAATAACAGATTTTTGAGCTGATGAAAGTTTATATGTGTTTTAAGGTAATATAGAAAAACAAACATCAGGAGAACCTTTGTTTACATAAATGATGAAAACAGTAAGTCAGTGCATCAAGAATGTGAAAATGAATAGATTGATCGACATAACGGCAAACTTAAAATGAAATCAGTTAATGCATTAAAAGAAAAATCTGAATTGTGAAATAGTAATAATGAAGATTTATTTTACAGTATTTGTTATTATAAAATAAAGAGAATGTGTGGACAAAGAATAAAGATAAAGCAGAGGAGATAAAAAAAAAAACTCGGCAGCTCATTAGACGAAAATAAAAGCTTGTTAAGCAGAAATAAATATGAAAAAGAACAATCCGAAATGACGTCCATTTACCTTAAGATATCTAACAAAATGAAAGCAAAAACACCGAGCTCCAAAAGTAATTGGCGGAAATAAAGCTAAAATAGGAAATAGTTGCGCCGAAAAACACCTAGAGAAAATGGATGATACAGAGCAGTATGTTGTGTTAGCTAAGGAAAATACAGTTACTGCTAACATTAGTCTTCAGATATAAAAAGAGAAATAGTAAATAATTCTAGGCTACTGGGGGAAATCATAGATAAAAAAGCCACAGTAAGGAAGGGGATTAAACTCGCGGCTAGTGAGTCGTAAAACTCTAGACCGACGCGTAAGCCACTTGGCCACCTGGCTCCAATAAGATTCATCCAACTAGGTGTATTATAAACAATAACAAAGTTAGCATAATCATATCATTGAACTGAATATATGTTAGTGAACTGAATAAATGCTTAGGAAATTCGTTATTGGAGAAAGAAAAAAATATACGAGAGTGGGTAAAATAAATAAAATGATAAACATTACTTAAAGGTTAAATGACGATAGAAGTGAGGAGGTAAAGACCTTCGTATTGAGAGTAAAAGGGCCCTGGTATCCTAACAATAGTTTCTCAATGAAACGAACACAGGATAGTTAGTGATCAGACTAAAATAGAGAGAAGAAAAGGGAAATAGCGATACAAACACAGTTTTAATTTAGAGCTAAAGAAGATTATTCATGAGGATAAACTTGGTGTGGTATAACTGAAACTTATCTGGTAAACCATACTTTAAATAATTATTGATTTTATGGAAACTGCTCAGTGAAGGATAGAGCGGAGTCGGTAAGATGGAGTGGCATTATTAGTAAAAGTAATACAAGTTCAAAAAAAGTAATATCCACATCACAAATAATGTTGAATTTTTAGTGGAAGAACTCCAATCACTGGCAATCAATGCATGCAGCCTTCACTTTAAGAAGGCTTGAGAGATGTTACGAAGTTACAAGACACTTGAGGGTAAAAAACTGGTCTAGGGGTCAACATAAATTATTAAAATAATTTCGTCTCTCAACCTGCGGGCTGAGAGGACGCTTTCTGAGCCTGCTCCTGCTTACACCTGGTGGCGAACCGTGTACTACAGTATGCAAGATGGCGGATCGTCAGGGTAGAAGAGTAAAAACGGTCTGTGTTGAATTCATTTGTGGCTCTCTCAGTGGTGCAACGATTCATGTCTTGTTGCCTACCATTATTCGCGACGTCTATTGCATCCCCACTGAGGAATTATATGGTGTGGCTCTCAACGGGATGTCGAGGATTTTTGTAAAATTCGCAAATGCCGGCTTTTACTCCAAGATTGTGGAAGCATTTCAAGAGAGGAAGATGGCGGTGAATTCAGCCGTAGAGGTATGCCTGCATGACGTCTCCACATACGTCACCTGGGTCAAAGTAAGAAACATGCCTTTCGAGGAGGAGTACGACATTCGGAAAGTTTTTGGTAGATACGGCACGGTACATGCAGCTACCAAGGGAGTGTGGAGGGAGGGCCCATACGAGGGGCTCCCGGAAGGCTCCTGCACCCTCAAGATGACATTAAAACAGCCGATTCCATCTTACGTTCATCTGGAACACTAAAGGACTCAAGTTTTTGTTCACTATGCAGGCCAACGGAAGACATGCAGGTTATGCAACTCGTATGACCATATGGCTGCTCAGTGCTCCAGACGCCTGGTTGTCCACATTCGGGAACCTTCTCCTGTGGTCCTAAGAACCGAGGCCTTCGATCTGGAGACTGGTCCCTCGACTGGACAAGGACCTAAGCTTTGGAGTGAGGAAGTACAACAAGAGGAAACGCAGTCTATGGCGTGTGCCACCCTGTCGGTGGACACTACAAATGTGCCCACACCATCTGTGGGGCCTACGGAGCCTGTGGAGTTGTCACAGGAAAGTTTGCTGGAGAACGTGCTACACGATCTCCTGGATGGGGCAGAGCATGGCCCAGACGTTCCACCGGAGTGTCAAGAAGTGATGAAGGATGATTCGCCAAATATGGGGGACCTGGACGTAACTACAATGACACGGTTGCATGAGGTGGTGGTGGAAGTCCACCAGGAGGCTTCGTCTGGTGAGGAGATGTGTGTGGAAGGTGGTTCCTGCAAACGGACGGCAGGAGTGTCGGATATGGACGAGGTCCTGACACCGGGACAGTGTCCAGGGAAGAAATTATGGTCGAAAGTGGCTGAGGCGCCTCTTGCAGATGGGGTTGTGGCAAGTGCCCAGCATATGGGTAGGGCATGGGGGGGTGAGGGGGGCCTTGGGAAGTCAAGGTCAAAGAAGGTCAGTGTAATGTACGTGTGGGAACGGGAAAGACCCACAAACATAGACGAAAACCTCATTTTGTGAATTCAAGTGTGTTACCATCAATGTAAATGGCCTGCGGGCAGTGGATAAGTGTGTGTGGATGGAGTGGTTCTTGCGCAGGTACGCTGTGGATGTATGTTTCATACAAGAACACAATTATAAGTTTGGGCGAGAGTTATGGTTAAAAGGCTACCGAATGTATGTTAGCAGTTCTTTAAAATTTAAGGGTGGGGTAGCTATGGCGTGTCTTGAGATGGGAGGAGGGGGGAGGTGGGAGGGTGGTGAGGGTAGATGGGTACTGGGGTAAGGTGAGGGTTTGTTTTATTGGCGTTTACATGCCTGCGGAAAGCAACTCTCAAGTTAAAATAGAATTTGTGAGGGAGGCTCTAACGTTTTACACTCGGGGTTTGCCATTCATTACGGTCTTGGGTGGGGATTGGAATTGCGTTATCCGCCATGGCGATGTTGAGCCGAGGGAGGTGGGGTGCATTTTACCTGTCTTAAGGAATCTGCTGGGGGATGCAGGGGTTTATGATGTGGTGGGGCGGGGTGGTTGGGGGGTGGAGCACACGTTCGTTCGCAGGGGCTATGCGGCCCATCTGGATAGACTTTATGTAACACAAGGAATTCGAGTTTGGCGTGTACAGACCTTTGATGTGGGGTTTTCAGACCACCGTGCAGTGCCAGCGGACTTGGACTGGGATGGAATAATCAGGGTTTATCCAGGTTATTGGAAACTGAATGTGCTGCTATTGGAGGAGGAGGGGGATGGGTCTGTTTTTCAGGATTGGTGGAAGAATCTCTGGGAAATGCGACGGGCAGGTGAATATTTGTTGGAATGGTGGGAAACATGTGCCAAACTCAGAATAGCTAGTTATTATAAGAAGCGGGGAAAGGAGGAGGCGAGGTGGAGGTTTGGGCTACAAAACTATCTGGAGGGGCAGCCAAACGATTACTATATGGGGGGCAGGAGTAGTAGGTATGACGACATTGAACATCTTCGTAGTCAACTTGCAGAAATTCAATCCCGGCCGGGATTGAACCCGTGGTCATAGAGTCTCAAAACTCCAGCCCGTCGCGTTAGCCACTAGACCAGCTAGCCACAATAAGATTCATCCAACTAGGTATATTTCTACACCATAGGAAGGTTAGCACAGGCACCACTGTGACCACAAATGCAAGTTTTTACAGACGAATCTCCAGCTAGCGTGGCCGTGACGAACTCTAGCTCAAGTCCCTTCACTGCCGTCAACATGACTCAAGAAATCGTAATGACACGATTGCAAACAAACCATACCCCCGGCCGGGATTGAACCCGCGGTCATAGAGTCTCAAAACTCCAGCCCATCGCGTTAGCCACTAGACCAGCTAGCCACAATAAGATTCATCCAACTAGGTATATTTCTACACCATAGGAAAGTTAGCACAGGCACCACTGTGACCACAAATGCAAGTTTTTACAGACGAATCTCCAGCTAGCGTGGCCGTGACGAACTATAGCTCAAGTCCCTTCACTGCCGTCAATATGACTCAAGAAATCGTAATGACACGATTGCAAACAAACCATACCCCCGGCCGGGATTGAACCTGCGACGGGCTGGAGTTTTGAGACTCTATGACCGCGGGTTCAATCCCGGCCGGGGGTATGGTCTGTTTGCAATCGTGTCATTATGATTTCTTGAGTCATGTTGACGGCAGTGAAGGGACTTGAGCTAGAGTTCGTCACGGCCACGCTAGCTGGAGATTCGTCTGTAAAAACTTGCATTTGTGGTCACAGTGGTGCCTGTGCTAACCTTCCTATGGTGTAGAAATATACCTAGTTGGATGAATCTTATTGTGGCTAGCTGGTCTAGTGGCTAACGCGACGGGCTGGAGTTTTGAGACTCTATGACCACGGGTTCAATCCCGGCCGGGGGTATGGTCTATTCACAATGAACGTCTCAATGCAGTTAGAGTCAGAGCAGGTATTGAAGAAGTGCTATGGGGTGACAAGCCTTCGGGTTGTGTCTTGCGCAAATTGGAAGTATGCACGGGTTTGGGTGGTTACCTGCCGGGTCAAGTACTCCTCATCACGGACAGCATGAGTTTTTATGCTGATCTATGGTTTGGGGAAAAGCTATGGTGGGGAGTAGGGGGGGTCCATGCGGGTGGCCTGGTAGGGAGGGATTTCAGAAA